AACTTTAACTTGCTCAGGAGGTGTATATGTTTTAATATTGCTTTTATGAACCATAGTTGAAGCTTTAGCATGATCCTTTGTCCTAACAGGGAAAGGTGGTTTCTCAACATAACAAGTAGGAACAATAGGATCATTATAAGTGAAAGCCTTTCTTGAACTTTAATGGGTGCAACTACTTTTACTTCTATGGGAGGATGCTATTTAAACCACTTCTCCTTAGGGAGATCAACATAAGTAGAAAAAGATTCACAGAAAGAAGCTACTATCTCAGAATCAAGTCCATATTTAGTGCTAAACTTACGGAAAATATCGGTATCCATAAAAGATTTAACACAATCAAACTTAGGTGTCATACCTGACTCCTTACCATTGTCGAGGTCCCAATCTTTAGAGTTGCGTTTAATTCTATCCAATAAATCCCATCTAAATCCAATAGTCTTCATCATAAAAGAGCCAGCACAAGAAGTATCGAGCATGGTGCGATTATTTTCAGAAAGTCGAGCATAAATTTTTTGAAGAATTATTTCTCTTGAAAGCTCATGATTGGGGCATGAATATAACATTGATTTAAGCCTCCCCCAAGCTTGAGCAATGCTTTCTCCTTTGCGAGGCCAAAAATTATATATATAATTGCGATCACGATGAACAAGATGCATAGGGTAATACTTTTGATGAAATTTCAATTTCAATCTTCTATAGTTCCATGATCCCATATCATCACATAGCCTATACCATGTCAATGCTTCTGCCTTCAAAGACAAAGGGAAGACCTTCTTCTTAGCAACACCATCGGGAATACCTGCAAGTTTAAATAATCCACAAACTTCATCCACATATAGTAAGTGTTCATCAGGATGCTTTGTTCCATCTCCTGTAAAAGGATTAGCTAGCAGTTTTTCTATTATACTCGAAGGATTCTCATAAGGAATTTCATTTTCAATAGGTTCAGTAGGTTGAGGACCAACTCTTTGCTCTACTGGTCGGGATGAAGATACCCCGAACCAGCCCCTCAGAGGATTACTTTCCATAGTAACAAGTGACAGTAAACTTTAGCACACTATATAAATTTTTCCTTACCAAATTCCACCTACCAAAGGTGCTTCACTCCCCGGCAACGGCGCCAGAAAAGAGTCTTGATGACCCACAAGTATAGGGGATCTATCGTAGTCCTTTCGATAAGTAAGAGTGTCAAACCCAACGAGGAGCAGAAGGAAATGATAAACGGTTTTCAGCAAGGTATTCTCTGCAAGTACTGAAATAAGTGGTAACAAATAGTTTTGTGATAAGATAATTTGTAACGAGCAACAAGTAACAAAAGTAAATAAAGTGCAGCAAGGTGGCCCAATCCTTTTTGTAGCAAAGGAGAAGCCTAGACAAACTCTTATATAAGGAAAAGCGCTCTCGAGGACACATGGGAATATCGTCAAGCTAGTTTACATCACGCTCATATGATTTGCGTTCGGTACTTTGATAATTTGATATGTGGCTGGACCGGTGCTTGGGTGCTATTCTTACTTGAACAAGCATCCCACTTATGATTAACCTCTATTGCAAGCATCCGCAACTACAACATAAGTATTAAGGTAAACCTAACCATAGCATGAAACATATGGATCCAAATCAGCCCCTTACGAAGCAACGCATAAACTAGGGTTTAAGCTTCTGTCACTCTAGCAACCCATCATCTACTTATTACTTCCCAATGCCTTCCTATAGGCCCAAATAATGGTGAAGTGTCATGTAGTCGACATTCACATAACACCACTAGAGGCTAGACAACATACATCTTATCAAAATATCGAACGAATACCAAATTCACATGACTACTAATAGCAAGACTTCTTCCTTGTCCTTAGGAACAAACGTAACTACTCACAAAGAATAAACATGTTCATAATCAGAGGGGCATTAATATGCATATAGGATCTGAACATATGATCTTCCACCAATTAAACCAACTAGCATCAACTACAAGGAGTAATTAACACTACTAGCAACCTACTAGCACCAATCCCGGACTTGAAGACAAGAATCGGATACAAGAGATGAACTAGGGTTTTGAGATGAGATGGTGCTGATGAAGATGTTGATGGATATTGCCCTCTCCCGATAAGAGGAGCGTTGGTGATGACGATGGCGATGATTTCCCCCTCCGGGAGGGAAGTTTCCCGGGCAGAACAGCTCTGCCGGAGCTGTAGATTGGATCCGCCAAGGTTCCGCCTCGTGGCGGCGGAGTTTCGTCCCAAAATGTTGCTTCTTATTTTTTTCTCGACGAAAGACTTCATATAGGAGAAGATGGTCATCGGAGAGCCACCAGGGGGCCCACGAGGTAGGGGGCACGCCCTAGGGGGGGGGGGGCGCCCCCACCCTCGTGTGAAGGGTGTGGGCCCCCTGGTCTTCATCTTTGGCGAGGATTTTTCATTATTTATTATAAGGTGTTCCGTGGAGTTTAAGGACTTTTGGAGTTGTGCAGAATAGGTCTCTAATATTTGCTTCTTTTCCAGCCCACAATTCAAGTTGTCGGCATTCTCCCTCCTTATGTAAACCTTGTAAAATAAGAGAGAATAGCCATAAGTATTGTGACATAATGTGAAATAACCGCCCATAATGCAATAAATATTGATATAAAAGCATGATGCAAAATGGACGTATCAGTGGTCAAGGAGGCTCACCTCATAAGGAAAAGGGAGGAGGAAGAAGAAGAAGGGAAAGGGGCCTTGCTCTACACAATAGTGCAATGATGTGAACTGTGCCATGCTTTGGACCTTCGTGTGCATTTCATCTTGAACCTTCTTGTTGCCTAGACTCCTTTATGTGGTGAAATATGTGTACTCTAAATTGCTTTGGACTCCTCTATGTGTACTCCTTTATGTGGTGAACTATGTGATGTCACAATTGCTTTGGACTCCTCTATGTGTACTCCTTTATGTGATGTCACAATTGCTTTGCACTGCTCTATGTGTACTCCTTTATGTGATGTCACAATTGCTTTCGACTCCTCTATGAGTACTACGTTATGTGGTGAACTATGTGTACCACAAAAGGCTTTGGAGTTTATTTTGACACCCTGTTCTGACAGCAACGCCAAACCAAGGGGCGTTTCTCTGTACCCCAGAAACGCCAATGACCCTGGCATTTCCTCCCTACATCGAAACGTTCGACCTAGCTTGGCGTTCCTTTAAGACAGAGGCTGCCTGGAACCTCTCCAAGAAACGTTGCGATGTACCCCAGAAATGCCAAAGTCCCTGGCGTTTCCACCCTACAACGAAACACTCTAGTGGCTTGGTGTTTCTTTAAGACAGAGGCTAGCTGGGACACGTACACGAAACATTGCCGCTCACACCTGAAACGCCAACCACCCGCGGCGTTTCCGAGCCACATATAAACGCCAATGTCCTTGGCGTTTCTGCCCTATTATGTAGATCACAGCAAACCCTGCTGCCCATGTCCATTCCATCACAGGTAGCAAAGGTACAACAACAATTTTCACAATATAATGCCAAGTACAGCAACAGTATAGCAATGAGCCATATTTTCGGCAACGAACTTAACATGATCCAGCTTACATAATAATAACCAAGTCTTGCTAACATAGAACTAACAAGTCCATCAGACATAAAACATAACAAGTTCATCAGATATAGAACTAACAAGTTTGCTCCATCTGAAACGCTAACTACATTTCTAGTTCACCACATATAGAACTAACAAGTTCGCATTAGTCATCACTTCACTTCTTGCCTCTTTTTGCAGCCATCTTCCCCCTGTTGACGTAGCCCTCTGGAGTGTTCTGCCATCCAGGACGTCGGATGGTTCTTGAGCTAACTCGGCGTGCTTATTCAGAAGGCTGAGAAGGTTGAGTTGGCGGTTGAGCATCTTCCATCTGCAAAGCCCCAAGCTCCACATAGTCCGGATCCGCATCGTAGTCTGTCTCCTCCTCTTCATCTTCCTGTTCATCAATCCGTGCTCGGCTCGAAGAAGCACCTGCTCGGCTGGAAGATGGATGAGCAGAAGAAGCGCGTGCTTGGCTCGAAGATGGACGAGCGGAAGACAGCACATCCATTCTATACTGAGCACGTGCACGCACATCCATGGATGAACCGCCATGGCAAGAAAGTAAAGCGGCTAGTGTTCGGCAACGATTCACAACCTTCTGTAGAGGCAAAGACATTGACATGTAAATATGCAAAAATAGTTCACATGACACATATTCATATTAAGAGGGCCTCTAACCTGTAGAGTACTCCTAACGAGTACGTCTGTTTCTCTACCAGGTGCGCGGCCAAGCACCACATTACTATCATTGATACATCTCCATAGCTCCGTGCCCTGAATAAAACTTAAGTGACACACCACTCATGAAGAAATGACACATGTTCAAAAAAGAGACAAAAAGACATACCACTCGGTCATGCAGAGGGCCATAATCTAGGTGCACTCCAATGGTCTCCCTAATAGAGTTGTTGAATGCACCATCAGCAGCCTCACTTGGCATTACTTCCAAGCAATCGACACGAGTCCAAGCACCCTTAAGGATAACTCTGTACTCTTTGCGAAGCCACTCCAAATGCCTTAAATAAGCCCCCTCATCATTGTCAGGTGTGTGATCATCTTCAACTCGGGCATTCCTCTGAGCATTCCACATGTCCACCCATATAAGATGGCGATTCTCCCAATTAATGACATTCTTTTTGTGTTGCCGGCTCGTCCTACAAAGCATGAGAAGTATCGGCATCATTTTCATTTTTCCGTGGTTACACAATGATCAACATATGGTACAAGAAACTCTCACCTATGTAGCACCACACTTGTCTCAACATACTCCGGCGGGGTGCGTTGTTGTACTCCAAATTGCTTCGAAACACGATGTGGAAGATGCCACTCCGCCGCAAAAAAGCATATCATGGGGCAACGCACACGCCAAAGATGTTGGTAACGAAGGCACATATTGCTCAAAGGGAACTGCCTAAGTACCATGTACGACCTCCAATTAACCTACATCACAACATGTCACTAGCTCATGCACAGCAAAAAATCTGTAATGATGGCAAGGGATTTGATAATTACCTGGTTGTAAGTAAGCATGTCAAGCTCGCTTATGTATGCCTTGTACCACCCCATGGCGGCGATACTCGACACTTGGACATTAGCCCACGTGTATGCGATAGTGGGATATCGCTCCTCATCCCCGTCAAAAGGCCACTCCCAAGGTTCTTCCGGAGCAATGGTGAAGTTACCGCCCACAGGGATACGCTCCCACATCCAAATCTGTAGGGCCCAAACAAAACCACTAAGACAAGATTTCGGCTTACTCCTCATACATGCTCCGTCCAACTGCACATTTGTACACACATTAAACAATCACATGCAAAAAATCTCTTTCATATAATGAGAATGCATCAAATTATCATCACTTGACGGTACAAGAAGGCTAGTGCCGCCGACCCCCAACTCCACTTAACATCCCAGTTACGAAGAGGGTCCAAGAACATCCATGAGGCTGTGTCTCCCGTGCCGTCACGAAACATCACTTGGGTCAAAAGATTCCATAAGTAAGCCCTGGCGTACCTCTCCACAACAGCCGGACTGGCATTCTCTGGGCACTCGTAAAAATGTTCTTGTAGCCACGAGAACAAAACACCAGATGGCCTAGGATCCTTCTTTGTTTCATGAATCCACGGGGGAGGTTCAACAGCAACCAAACCTGCAACCCTTTGTCACCACCCCTCAGACCTCACCTTCCCGGTAAGAGCCCTGCCCTCGATCGGAAGACCGGAGATCATCGCAATATCCTCCAAAGTGACGGTCATCTCACCAAGAGCAAGGTGAAAAGAGTGCGTCTCCAGCCTCCAACGGTCCGTAAGGGCGGTAATGGCCGTCGAGTTCAGCCATGGTGGTGTGCCTTTAAAGTTGAGCACAAACTGGAGAAGATCCATTCTTCTAAAATAAGGCTCGTAGCGACGGTCATACCTCAAGGACTCACGTGGGTTGTGGCCTCTCAAACGAAGTACTGGAGGAACCTACAAATAACACACGCACAATTTATATACTTCTCTAAACTACTCACAATATGAGAATCAACAATGTAGATACATAATTACCTCCCCTCTTTCCACTAGCACAGCATGATGCTTCTCCTCATAATAATCATCAAGGCCGGGATATTTATCCGGCTCAAACATCCTACAAAATAAGGTCAATGAATTTGTTATGATATATGCTTAAAATTATGACCGCATCATATACAAAATCGTGTGAGAACTACTACAAATTATCCCAAAGATACAAATCACGGACGACATTGCCAACACCAATTCTTTTCAACCTATTTTATCCTAAAGAATCTATCACAACTAATTATTAACAAATAATAGGTCCAACCTAATCCAAAAAAATGGTCTCTCTCTAAATCCAATACTAAACAAGTTAACTAAGAATACTTCAACACAAGGAGTATATGTCTTCTTTCTAAACATAATGTAACCAAAATATTCATCAAACAAATCACTAATAACTCATCTTAGGGTTCCACCATGTTTGAAAAAATGCATCTACAATAGCCAATCTTGACTGAAAATAAATGGACGATTGGGAAGAGAATACCTCAAGCAACTCGGGGATGCTCCGATCTACTCGTTTTGATGATCAAAATAACAGATCTGGGGAAGATTTGGTGAAGAAGAGGGAGGGGGCGGCCGCCAGTTCGTCCTGGAAGAACTGCCCTACCGGGGCTGGGACTGCGAGTGGGCTGGGTTAGGCCCCGGCGGCCCGCGCGCGTTACTTAATCCAGTTCAGAAACGCCAAGGACCTTGGCATTTCACGCGTGCCACGTCAGCGAAAACATCGGGTTCAGACTGACTGTGGGCCAGGGAAGAAACGCTAGCTGCCTCGGCGTTTCCGTGTTGGCAGGGAACGCTAGCTTGCTCGACGTTTTTATGTTGGGTAGAAACGCTGCAGACTCTAGCGTTTCTAAAAAGGTCAAATCGCGAAATACTTTCACGTCGAGTTCAGTTTGTGACTATAAACGTTGACAAGGTCACAAGAGTGATTTCGTCCAGAAAAAAGGAACCAGTGACTTTGGTTGACTCGCTACAGTCCAGTCGTTGTCGTTGTCTCCAAATCACGGCTTCACTAGGTCCACACGGTTGGTGGGAACATTTTTGTTGATTATTATATCCCCAAATCTACATGCAAGGCGTGACTCCAGTCGCCGCGTCGTCATCCCCAAATCACTACTCCGCTGCTGCTCCTTGACCAGCGACGACCACCTTCTCCCCGAGCTCCCGCCGCACCACTCTGTACTGAGTACTGTAGTCCCCTCCCGGCGCAGATCCGGCACGCCCATCCACCTCCGGCCACGGATCTGGCGGCAGCCACCCACCACCGGTTCGACTTCGCCGCCGTACCACTGCCGCACTGCGTCGCTCCGAATCACTTGGTTACTTCTCGGCTCTTGCCCTCCTCATTCACCACCGACGACCCGCATGGCCGCATCCTCATTCATACTCCGCCTTTTGTTGCAGATCCGGCACGTCCATCCACCTCCGGGCGCGGATCCGGCACAGACCATCTCTGCATTTACGCCTCACCTGTTCGACTTCGCCGCGCAACACTGCAGCACTCCCATCGCTTCGCCGTCCCTCGGATCGAGATGTCGGTGAGCGCGACAATGGGGGTGATGAAACCCCTGCTCGGCAAGCTTGCCGCTCTGGCCGGCGAGGAGTACAAGAAGCTCAAAGGAGTGAAGAACCAGGCGTGCTTCCTCGAGAAGGAGCTCAGCGCTATGAACGCCGCCCTTGAGACGATGGAGCTTATGGACGAGCTCGACGCGGTGGCCAAGGACTGGAGAGACCAGGTCAGGGAGATGTCTTACGACATTGAAAACTGCATCGACGACTTCGAGCGCCAGTTCAGAGCTGGTCATGCCAAGCTAGGCTTCATCAAGAAGACTGCTCGACGTCTCAAAATGTTGGGACAGTATCATCGGATTGCTGACCGGATGGAAAAGCTCAAGGTTCTTGCACTAGAGGCTAATGATCGACGCATCAGGTACATTTCAATCCTTTCTTCTTAGAAATAATAGCGGATGCCGGAGGCCCCACAGTATATGTTATGTTTGTTATACATGTTATATGTACCAGACAAAGAATTATAAGAGCATAGAGGATATCATAATTATGCTATATGTTGTAACCGATCTGCACCTTTCTATTATTAAAAGAAATGTTGGAATCAATTATCCTAACACCGTTCTTCAAAGACCGAAGTGTGACACTCTCTCTCTCTATCTGTGAACATTTTCTAGGTACAATATCGACGAACGCAAGCCTAATTACAATGATATTGATCCTCGATTGTCGGCGATATACGTGGAGACATCTGGCCTTGTGGGTACTGATGGCCCTAGGGAGGATATTGTCAGTTTGTTGACAGATACCGAAGAGAAGCTTAAGGTGGTATCCATTGTGGGATTTGGAGGACTGGGTAAAACTACACTTGCCAAACAGGTGTACAATGAGATCCAATGGCAGTTCGATTGTACAACAATTGTTACCGTATCTCAAAGGCATAATATGATAAAGCTTCTCCATCGTATACAACTAAAACTTCGGATGGATGTGTCTTCTCAGGGCTGTGAGGTGGAAGACATAATTGACGACCTTAGAAAATATCTCACAAACAAGAGGTACTGTTTACTTCAATAGTCACTTGTGTTCTTGCATGGGCAAGTTGTGTTAAATTTGAATAATTATTGATTTGATCAACGTTCATGTCACTGCTTGTGGCCTGCATGGCTTGGCGGAATAACACATGGTTGTTCTGCATATAGAAACAGATGTCTGGTATAAAAAGAGCAAGAGGTTGTAGCTGCATTGTTCAAAAGATGCAAGCACGAAACTGTACCTTTTGTCTTTTCTATTGTGCATGTTTCTACAGAGTGGATTTTTCATGCTCCCATGTAGCTACACCTTCTATCTAGTCCATCCAACTTCGCATCAAGATCCGTGCTCTATCACTATAGAAATTTCACTTTTTTTGTTTCTACCAAACCAAACAACATTTGAATTTGAAACTTTGCAAGTCAACAACACACATATACTCAATTGTGCAGAAAATGACATATTTTTTCTGCAATAAAAATATCTAAATTGATATAATTATAATAATATTTATCATTTTTTATATTTTCGATGCACAAAAAATATCAGGAAACATGTATGCACCTTGTAGTACTCATGTGGTGACGTACAAAGTTTCAGGATCAAATGTTTTTCCATTTGGGAGAAACAAAAAAGAAAAAGTTATACGCATGAAAACATAGAGGTCTAGATAGAGGGTGTACCGACCATGTAGCACATTCACAGCCTTCCCATTTTTACATATGATTTTGCAGATGCACAGGCCCTTGCATGTAGGTTGGCCGCTGAAGTTAATTTTGTAAACTAAAGAATACTAGGGATTACATTCTTACAAGAATAAAATACATATATTTTAATTAGTGTATATTTGTACATGTTTACACTTTAGACTCATATCCGTGCAATCGATTGCTTCTACGGGAAGACTGTCCGTCGTAATCCAAGCTTCCTTGTTTGTTTTTTGGAACAGCCGACATAATTTTCTTCAATTGAGATAATACATCTACATTTAAAATACTTTAAATGTCAAGTTAGTTATTCTGATCTCCAAAAGAAAAGAAGAATAAAATGCAGTAGCATATGTTTTTTGGTTTCTAAACATTTGTAAGCTAAATTTACATAGATTTTGTTGAGTTTCAACACATCATGCAACCTTTTGGCATCATTTAGTCTTCAAATGTTATATGCTAATTTAGCCAAAAAATAGTGGATTTGCTTGAATCCAATCTGCTTTAAATTTGTTGTTCAAGTTCGATAGAATATTTTGAAGCTTCCTACTGCACCTTATAATCATATGCAACAATACGTAGATAACACGTGGAAACTATTTACAAGTACCTTATTGTAATCGATGACTTGTGGGACCAGTCAGCATGGAATGCTATTAGCCGCACATTTCCAGAAAATACCAATGGGAGTAGAGTAATAGTAACCACACGAGTGGAAGGTGTGGCTTATGGGGCATGTTGCAGTCACCCTGAGTGCATTTACAGAATGAAGCCCCTCAACAAGGAAAACTCAAAAAGGTTATTTTCTCGTAGAGTATATGGTTCCGAAGATAACCATCCATCCCAATTTGAAGAAAGCTCAGCTGAAATTCTGAAGAAGTGTGGTGGACTCCCACTTGCGATCATTACTATAGGTAGCCTATTAGCTAATCATCCTGAAAGGTTAAGGGATGAGTGGGAGAGCATTAGGAATTCACTTGGGACCCAGCTTGAGGTAAGTCCCACATTGAAAGGGATGAATGGTATATTAAACCTTAGCTACCCCCATCTTCCTCTTCATCTCCGGGCATGTTTTCTGCACCTTGGTATATATCCAGAAGACCGCGAGATTGAGAGGGATGATTTGGTTCGACGATGGTTAGCTGAAGGATTAGTCAGTAATTTGCATGGGCAAGATATGGAGGTTGTTGCAAAGAGCTATTTTAATGAGCTTGTCAACAGAAGCTTGATTCAGCCTGAACGTACAGAGTATGGAGAGTTGTTATCGTGCAGAGTACATGATATGATACTCGATTTGATCCTAAGCAAATGTCAAGAGCATAATTTTGTGACAGTTGAATGCAGCTCTGAAGGCATGGCAAGAGAGCATGGACGGAAATACATGGTCCGTCGTATATCCATGAACTTTAGTGGTGGTGGCACAACAGATGAGACAGCATCAAGGACCATTCCTTCTAGCCTGTCACAAGTTCGGTCTCTTGCACATTTCGGAGGATCCAAGTATATTCCCCCTCTTTCGCATTTTAAGTATCTCAGGGTGATTCTCTTTAAAATTTGGGGGGAACTGTTCGATGAGACAATCGATCTCACTGCTATTAGCCAATTGTTCCAACTGAGGTATTTAAAGGTTTCAGTTGAACAAAACATCAAGCTCCCTACTGAAATACAAGGTCTTGTTCATTTGGAGACACTGGATTTAAATTGCAATTTGTTAGATATCCCATTAGAAATCCCAGCAGATATAGTTCACTTGCCCTGCTTATCCCACTTGATAGTTCCATACAGGACCAAGCTGCCTAAAGGGATCAGAAACATGAAATCATTGCGCACTCTGTATGGATTTGAACTGCGGTGGAGCCCGTTGGAGGATATCAAGGGACTCGGTGAGTTGACCAATCTGAGGTGCCTGTGGCTCTCAAGGAGTACCATGGGCTATTGTGGGGGGATAGAAGGGGCTGTAGCTTTGGCGTCTTCCATTGGAATGCTCCATGACCTCAGATATCTCTGCATCATTGGCCATTTCTTTGATGAGAGCTGCCGGGTGGTCTCATTATCAGATCCTTCGTGTCATATCAAAGTACTTAGACTGAGTGGTTGGAGGATGCCTAGAGTTCCCAAATGGATTTGTGGTCTCCAATGCCTCTCCCAGCTAGAGTTGGATGTTGAGCTGTCCACTGAGGAGTTTCACGCTCTTGGTGAGCTGCCCTCTCTCGTCTTCCTCAATTTGTGGGTGTTTAGTATACCTGATGGCAGCGTTGTCATTTTCCCGGCGGGGTCATTTCCAGTTCTAGAGGGGTTTGAATGCCGATCAACGCATGATGTTACCTCATACCTGGCCTTTGAGGCAGGTGCTATGCCCAAACTACGATCTATCGCACTACAATTCCGCAAGAGTAACTGGGGCGGCGCTACACCACTTGGCTTGGAGCACTTGTTGAGCCTCGAGCATATCTTTGTTGTAATCAGCGGTGGCCTCGAAGAAGTGTGCGGTGAAGCAGAGTCTGCGTTCAGGAACTGTACACAGCTGCACCCAAGCCGTCCTTCCTTTACCCTCTCCGATATGCCACTATAATTTTTTTGACATTCCTCGAGGGTGACGGTCAGCTGGCGTGACACCACTTTATTTTAGGGAGCTTATCCTTTTTATTACCATATCAATTGCTTTTGTCAGCATGTAATTTTTTTTCCACTTTGTTCTGCTTCGTTTGCGAGCTGTAAGACCTTTTTGACGATACTTTCTGAATTTTTAATAAAATGGATGCATGCATCATCATGATGCAGAGGCCCGGGGGCATTGCCTCCATTTCCAAAAAGAAACTTTATTTTCGAGGGAGTCATGTCATCAGTCGTGCGATCTTGTATCCAAATTCCGCACAATCGTGGTGGCTCTGTAGAGGGCGGAAGAGAGGCTAGGCCCTCCTGGGACCTTGGGTGATCCGTGGTGGAGGCCGGGGATGAGGACGACGAGCCTGGTTTGGAATGGGCCATGCTCTGATCGATGATCATGTCCGAGAGCTCGATGGCCCCAAGCAGGTGCTGCATCAGGCCGTCGTGTTGCAGCAGGTACGTGAGGTGACACCAGAAGCTTCTTCGATTTCGCCTCAATTCGGAAGTGTTTGTCTTATGTGATCGACCAAAAAGTGGTCAAAAATTGCAGGCAAGCGGAGGCTGTGGAGAGAGAGAGAGAGAGAGAGAGTCTTTCTCCTTTTACGGGCCGCCGGGATGGTGAAGTCGGAAGTTATACACGGCAGAAGTCATCAGGTAATTGCAGCTCACCACCACGTCTCACCCTTTTTGCAGCTCCAGTCTTGTGTTTCAACTTATAACTGGCCAAATGGGCTGGGCCAAACAGGCCAGCCCGCGAGCACGCCGGCACGGCACGTCATGGGCCATGCATGGCACGGGCTAAACGGGCCATGCCCGGCATGCGGCACGCCTTGGGTCATGCTTGGGCTTGGAGGCTGGGCACATGGACCGGCACGGCACCACTCGTGTATATCTATATATATATTTTAGATTTTTTTTATAAATACATATGTAAAATATAGCCTAATAGACCTAAAAACCAGCCCAACAGGTTGAAAAAATACAGCCTTGCGTGCTAAACGGGCCATCGGGCCAGCCCGTTAACTAATCAGGCCATGCCTGGCCAAGGAGCAACGCTCGTGGGTCGGCACGACACGGCACGACCCGACTATTAAACGTGCCACGGCGGGCCGTGCCGGGCCAGGCACGATTAGCACAGGCTAGGCCGTGCCGGGCCGGGCCGACCCGTTTGGCCAGGTATGTTTCGACTACAGAGGCGCACCGGTTGGCAACTCTGTTCTTTTTTTTTAGAAAAGAAGGATGATCCTCGGCCTCTGCATTTGGACGATGCATATGACCATTTTATTAATTATTCTCACAAGACCTTACAAAATCATACAACAATAAGACTAAAACCTCCGTCTAAGCAACAAATAGTCGCTACCTATCCAGTTGATGAAGGGGCGCAGATAGCCGGGGCCTAATACCAAACATACATCGCAGCCAAGTCTAACATCTAAGACCTGAGACCCCAACCTAGCCACTTGCCGGGTCTGGGGCACACACTAGTCCGACGTGCTCTCAGAGGTCGCCGCCGCCAACTGCCACCGCTCCATCTTCAGAACTGTACTGATGCATCAACGTTGCTCGGGCCAGCTATCGTCGACGCCGCCACGGCGCCCAACGGCACCTCCTCCTTGCGCGCAAACAACTGTACACGTCGCGGTCGCCACTGATACACCTCAGCGCCGTGCTGGCAAGTACCACCAGCCGACACAGCTTGAAGCCCTTGGAGGATCTGTCGTGCGTAGCACCTGCCGACCAGGCATGACCAAGCGGAGCACCTGTCGGTCAGGCATGGCCTAACATCTCCACCGAAGCTCCGTGCAAGACGAAACCGCTCCACCTCCTGCCTCTGACTTCCAGCGCTGCTCCACAAAACGATGCTCCCAAGAGAGAAACGATACCGCAGTGCCGCCATCGTCCGGTCTAGAACACCAGATCCTAGGGTTTCCCCCGGAGCAATACGAGTGGGTCGACGGTAGTCACATGATGATGCCTTCATCAAGGTAACAACGTGGAACGCCGCCATCGCCCGCTGTCTGCTCGGTTTTCACCGGCAACTACGTTTCCTCGACTCGCAGCTGGTGCCAGATGACGGATCCCGAGACCCGAACACCCAGCCTCAGGCCGACCACCTCTGACAGAAGAGATGACCACCACCGCCGGCTGCACCGGTCAGAACAGATCTGATCGGAGGTGCCGCCGACAAGACCACCAGGCCCTCCACGCCGCCGTCGCCGATCTGAAGGCATCGGCACGCCAAGCCGTCGCCGTCCGAGGACGGGCCGGCCTCCCGCCGCCTGCCGCCATCCGCCGCGCCACAGATCCCAGATCAGTCGCGCCACCACATGCCTTGGGGCCCGCCCCACCCCGGAGACGCGCGAGAGAGGAGATCCCCCGCCATCGCCGTCGGCCCCTGGGCTTAGCCCGGCGGCGTCTTTCGGCGGCGGCGAAGGGAGAGGAGGAGGGAGTTTGCGGCGGCGGCGGCTAGGTTTCTGGCCGCCCGAGTCGCCCTAGGGGGAGGACGAGGACGACGCGGGCCTCTCCAAAAAATTGGGCGTTAATTTAACAAACAAATTAAATTGGCTATGCTTACTCAACTGTCTAGAAATTGATTACGTATTTGTATTCTTCCAGAATGATGTGGTTCCAAAAGAGCTAGGACTTGCTGTAATCTTGTGGTTTTTGTTGCATTAGGCAATGCATATTTCTGGAGCCAAAGCTTGAGTAATTTTGGTTTTCCATTGTGCTGTTGTATATCATCACCATTCTGAACTTACCTCAGTATTATCTTCACCAGATCTTCCTTCGAAGCGGATGAGAGAAAGCGAAAGGCTAGCTGCAAACATGTTTGAAATGGCTCGTGAAAATTCTCCCTCCGTCATGTTCATCGATTCAATTTATTCTTTGTGTGGCCAACATGGAGAAGGCAATGAAAGTGAGTCGATACTCAAGACGGAGCCGCTAGTCCAGAACTCCAGATGCACGTGACGTCTTAGATTGTAGAGCACCTTCCAGTGTTTTCTTTTATTGACAAATTGGCTGGAGATTTGTCCTTCATTTAAGCAGAATACAGTGGCTCAGATTATTATGAGAAAACTAATCTGCTTACAAGTGTTTTCAAATGTTGAAATGAAAAAAATAACATTTGTTCTTCAGATATGACGTACTGCTCTTTGTTTGTATAACATTTGCACTTTTTTTTTCTTTTTTTCGAAAAGGGGGCTCCCGGCCTCTGCAATGGAACGATGCATACGACCAACTTATTAAATAAGCAAATAGGTTCAACAAGGTCTTAGAGTCTCAAACAAAAATAAAGGGAAGCTCACAAAGAGCCAAAGGGCCAATAACAAACTAACCACAAAAAGCCACAACCGGCTAGTATAAGAAAGATATGTAAACTAATTGTCTATCCTATTACATGACCGTCATCCAAACCGGTTGAAGATATCCCGTGCTACCATCTCCCAGCGGATAGATCCAGTAACCAAACGCTCCCTGACCTCCGTCGAAGTGAGTAGCGACCATATACGGATCAACGCAGTGGCTCGGAAAATAACCTGCAAAAAATAATATTTGTTGTTCTGTTAAAAACCAAATCATTTCTACAGTTCCAGACTGCCCACAATAAAGCACATACTCCTACGCGAATGTGTCTCGCTATTTCGGACTCTATCCCGTTAAGCCACGTTCCAAATAACGTGCTGACAGAACTCGGAGGAGTATTATTAAATGCAATATGGACCATCCGCCATAGAACTTTGGCTAACGGGCAATCAAGAAAAAAGTGTTTGATAGTTTCATCCCGATCACAGAAACTACACCTAGTAGGTCCTGTCCAATTACGTTTTGCCAAGTTATCCTTGGTTAATATTACTTGTTTATGTACAAACCACATAAACACTTTGATTTTCAAAGGAACTTTGAGAGTTCAAACATGTTCGGAACTAGAAATAGAGCTTGAATTCATAACATGAGGATACATTGATTTAACTGTAAACTCTCCAGACCTAGTAATCTTCCAGCATAATTTATCAGGCTGTTGAGACAGCTGAACCTCCATCAGTCTACTCACTAGATGAAGCCATTCTTCCCAACGATTGCCGACTAGCGTCCTTCTGAACTGAATATTAAGGGGAATGGATTGAAGTACCGTTGCAACGAAAGCATCACGTCATTGAACAATACGATACAGAGACGGGTATTGAATGTCAAGGGGTCTCTTTGAGCCAAGTATCCTCCCAGAATCGCGTGCTAGCACCGTTGCTGATAATAAACTTTGTCCTATTAAAAAAGGTTAATTTGACTCTCATAAGCCCTTTCCAAAAAGGCGAGTCAGTCGGTCTCGCTGTCACCTGGGACAAAGTTTTGGAGTGGAGATACTTGCTATGGAGGATCTGCACCCAACTGGCATCAGTCTCGACCGATAACTTCCACAGCCACTTGCTGAGAAGACACCTGTTCTTGACCTAAAGATTCTCAATGCCAGGGCCCCCTTGGTCTTTCGGTCGACAGATAATATCCCACTTGGCGAGTCTGTATTTTATTTTTAGTTCATCGCTCTGCCAGAAGAATCGTGATCAATAAAAATCCAGTCTTTTCCTAACTCCAATTGGGACTTCGAAGAACAACAAAAGAAACATAGGCATACTCGTGAGAACCGAGTTTATCAGAATTAATCGGCATCCGTATGACATGAGCTTCTCCTTCCAGCAACTCAGTTTCTTTCCAAAGCGGTCCTCGATACACTTTCATTCTCTGTTTGTCAGCTTACGATGGTGGATTGGTATACCTAAGTACGTAAAAGGTAAAGTCCCCAATTCGCACCCAAACAATTGTCTATAAGCCTCTTGTTTGTCATTGGCTCTACCAAAGCAGAACAATTCGCTTTTGTGAAAGTTAATCTTTAACCCGGTCAATTGATCAAATAAGCATAACACCAGCTTTATATTTCTCGCTTTTGCCAAGTCATGCTCGAGAAAGATGATCGTATCATCAGTGTACTATAGGATAGACACACCATCATCAACTAGATGAGGTACCAAGCCACCCACCTGATCAGCCTCCTTAGCCCTTCTTATCAGAATTGCCAACATATCCACTACGATGTTGAACAGAATAGGAGACATCGGATCCCCTTGTCTCAGGCCCTTATGTGTCTGGAAATAATGACCTATATCGTCATTCACTTTAATTCCAACACTCCCTTTTTGCGTGAACGATTCTACCTGTCATCGCCAGGCTTCATCAAAACCTTTCATACGCAAGGCCTGTTGAAGGAGAGGCCATTTGACTTTATCGTACGCTTTCTCGAAATCCACCTTAAAAACTACTCCATCTAATTTTTTTTGTGTGAATTTCACGGAGCGTTTCATGAAGGACCACAACCCCTTCTAGGATGTTTCTGTCCGGCATGAAAGCAGTTTGGGAATGTTGCACCATAGAATGCGCAATCTGTGTGAGCCTATTAGTCCCAACCTTGGTGAAAATTTTGAAACTAACATTGAGGAGGCAGATAGGCCTGAACTGCTCAATTCTCACAGCCTCCGTTTTCTTAGGAAGCAGTGTTATTGTTCCAAAATTCAAGTGAAATAACTGAAGCTTTCCAGAGAATAGATCATGGTACATTGGTAGCAAATCCCCCTTAATAATAGGCCAACACTTTTTATAGAACTCCGCTGGAAATCCATCCGGCCCTGGAGCCTTATTGTTTTTCATCTGCGCAATAGCTTCAAACACCTCTTTCTTCGAGAACGGGGCAATCAAAATATCATTCTCATCAGCAGTAAGTTGAGGCACATCCTCAATCCTGGACTCATCCATGGACACACAACTATCCTCCGAAGACCCAAATAACTGCTTATAGTACTCGGTTATGTATAATTTTAGGTTTCCCTGACCAAAAATAGTTCCTTCATCTTGTTCAAGCTGAAAGATTCTCTTCTTTCCGTGCTTGCCATTAGCGATCAAGTGAAAGAATTGAGTGTTCGCATCCCCCTGGACAACTTTGCGAACCTTAGCCCGCAACACCCACTTTAATTCCTCTTCATGGAGAAGCTCTTTCAACCCCATCTCCGCTTCCAGTTTAGCATGAAGCTCCGTGGCTTGCAAAATTATGGACTCGACTTTTAAATCTAGGGACTGAATAAGTGTAAGGAGCCTTTCCTTTTCGACCTTATAAATCCCACTAAGATGCTTAGCCCACACACACAAGAAACTTCTCAAATGCCTGATCTTATTCTGCCAGCGCTCAACCGAAGTCCTACCTCCTGCATCCTTAGCCCATTCCCTGGCTATCAGATCCAAGAAGCCTACACGTTCAAACCATGCCAGCTCGAAAGAAAAGGAGTTTTTGTTCCCGATGTGGTTTGGCTCACCCGAGTCCACAAAATAAAGGCGTGTGATCAGAAATTCCACGCGAAAGAGCCTGGACCGTTACCAAAGGGAATTTTTGTTCCCACTCGATGCTCGCTAGGACTCGATCCAGCTTCTCAAACGTTGGGTTTGGCAAAGCATTAGCCCAAGTAAATTTTCTACCGGAAAGCTCTATCTCTCTCAGATCCAAGCTTTCAATAATGGTATTAAACATAAACGACCATCTGCCGTCAAAATTATCATTATTATTTTCCTCTCTCCTCCTCATGATATTGAAATCACCCCCAACCAGAATTGGGAGCTGCTCAGAGCTGCAAATTCGAAAAAGATCCGCCAAGAACTCTAGTTTAAGCTCGGGCTGTGCGGCACCATAAACCATCACCAGAGCCCAATTAAACCCATCAGCTTTCGACCTAACCCGAAACTTAACCGCGAAGTCTCCCATTACTACACTTCGGACTTCCAGCGAATCACATCTCACTCCAAGTAAGATCCCACCCAATGTTCCTCTCGGAGGCAGGTAGTGCCAATCGAAATCGACACCTCCTAATAAAGTATTGAGAAACTGGGGCGCAAAATTATCTCTACCAGTTTCAGAGAGAGCAATAAAATCCAATCTATGCTCGATAGACGCATCTGCAAGAAACCTTCTTTTAGCCAAGTCTCTCAGACCTCTGCTATTCCAAAATATTCCTTTCATATTTCATCATGAAATTTTTTTAGTAGTACGGATCCTAGCACTCCTACGTACTGCTGAAGCCGGGTAGATCTTCCGCTTCCACTTGCGTTTGGGTTTGCTTTGATCTTCCACCTGGTCCTCACAGCCGGGCTCAGTGGATCAAACTACTGCAGCCCCTAAAGTGTCATCCTCTTCCTCTGACTCAGGAATGGATGGTGCAAGATCCGCTGGGTTTTACCGCTGCTAAGTTTCGAATCATTTCTAAAGCACGTTCCGCTTCCAAATCTAGGAGATCATTAACAGAGTTGGAAATTTCATTATCATTGCTACCTAGTGAAACTCCTAATTGATGTGCATTATTAATAATCTCATTATTAGAAAAATGCATAATAGAATTAGAAATGTTGACCGACATACCAGTAGTGACCTCAATGTCACGAAGCTTGGTCGTCCTCATGGCGCACCGCTGCTGCATGTCATCAACCTTCGGGTGATCCTGGAGACGGCAGCTCATCCGTCGCCCCACAGAGACCGGATCCAGGATCCCTCCAAAGGAGATGACCTCCTCCCGAGTGACCCCACTCAGAGTGAAGCCACCAGCCTCACCCCCAGCACAGAGCGAATTTGCACCCCTCAAAGAGTTAGCTGGAGCTACCGGAGGAAGCGGCGGGGAGCTCCCCGGCCCCACTGATGTCTACCTCGAAACGAGGCCCTGGGCCGCCGGTGCGCCGAGAGAGGGGAGTGCGAGGGCCGCCTGCCTGAGCACTCCTCCCGCCCCAACCCTCAGGCTAGAGGGGGCCA